TTCATCACATTTCAATCAAAGCCAAGGAAATGTAAACTTAAAGCTAATCTTGAAATCTGGTATGGGAATCATATTTTTAGAGAAAGTTGCTATGATTTATTCTGGATTGTTCATCCTGCAGTAGATTGGTTGTTTGACCCAGTGAAATAAAAACAAACGCACAACTGGGCATCATCTTTGATAAAAACCACAGCTCCCATTTACACATACATGTAATGACCTGTGTTAAGCACATGGTGTCGGGCCTACATGTATTACCCAGATTTCCCTATCTTTCTATGCTCATTACTCCCCCACTATACATTTTCTACCAAAATTGTTTGGCGCTTGTGATTTATTTGTAATCGTGAACATTTAGTGTATTAAAGTTTGGTTGGATTCTGTGAGAATCGATTTTCTACATTTTCCAGAACTCAAGTTTATCTTTTAACCAGAATTTATTTTGCGACCTTTGCCAGACACATGACTGACTACTGCATACCACCCCAGGGGAGTGTTTCACAAAGACTAAGATCAAACTTTAATTTGGACTTAACTATGGCAGGCCGTTCATTTCACTGTTTACTCTCGCCATTTACTGGCATTGGTCTCTCAAGGGACGTACAAATCGTGGTCCGAAAATCTACAGAATTTACATTTTTTGATACCGTAGTCCATTATTGAAGAAAAAAATATCTAATTCTAAAGATCATAATTGAGAGGCCAATGGTGAGAGCAACCAGTGGCAAGAATGGCCTGCCGTACGTAGTTAAGTCCAACTTAAAGTCGATCTTAGTCTTTGAGAAACACTCCCCAGGAATAGCATTCCATTTACCTTGTTATGTAGGGTTGATGAATACAGAATATCCGACACAGGGTAGGTGAGGGTCCCCAGCAGATCGGCAGCGAGCAGGTTAATGGGAAAAATGTACTGCTGTCTGTGAAGTTTCCGATGGCAAATGATAGGGACGAGAGTGGCAATCTTGAGGATGAGCGTAAATGCAAGAATGCATTGGCGAAACCTATGTAAGACGACAAAGTCCAGCACGTCGCATGGCGGTGTGGTGGTGTTCATGGTGACCGCAGGTGCTGAAGTGTCTTCCATGGTGGTTCCTTGGTGGCTGACACTTTCTTCAGCAAAATACTTTTGTCATTGGAGTATGGATTAAAAAAATAAATAACTCATTGTTAGAACTTCCAGAGCAAAAACTTTCCAAATTTTCTGGCCTGCCCTCCACAAAGCATTTTAGTTTGAAACTCTCTTCATGAAAAAGGCAGTTAAAGTTGAAACTGTTGTAGACTCATCAGTAGATACATATTTTGTTATGCATGACAGCAAAGCCAGTCTTGCACAATTACCTTAACATTTTGCACATGTGATGGATACATGATAGAAATAAAAAGTTAGTTTCATGCATTTATGGAACATGTTGTATCTCAATTTTTCTAAAATTGACAATTAAGTCCTTATTCCACAGAGCGCTTCAGTTACTTAAGTTCAGACTCATAAATGTTGAGGACAACTGAAAACTGCTTGATTTTTTAGAAGAACTTGATACATCAAAATGCTTCCAAACCTGTGAAAATAAAGTCTTTCCTGACTAGGCACTAGGCATTATAATACATGTACACTGTAGATACACCTTGCCATATCCAAATTCTTTCATGGGTGATATCGAAGGCGTTTTCTTCTTCAAAGCACTGCTCTCATCTTTTTCTATGATTGGCAATTAAGTCCTTGTGTCACAGAGCACTACACTTTAAGTTCAGGCTTATAGTTGTCAAAGATAAATTAAAACTGCATGATTTTTTTAGAAGAACTTGATATATCAAAATGCTTCCAAATCTGTGAAAATGAAGTCTTTCCTGACTGGGTAGTAGATATCTCACCGGAGTTTAGAGTTGCACCTTGCAGCTAGTATCCTAATTCTTCCATAAGCGATAATGAAGGTCTCTCTTCTCTCCTACAAAGCATAGCTCTTGCTGAGTTTCGAACAATAAACAGAGAATAGAAACAAAATGCATGATAGCGTCATTGGTAGAACCTAGAAACCTGAAAGACAGGGTCGTGTCACTTTTCTAATTATGAGCATAATGTATCATATCTATTACCTTGGCAACCTCATGGTCAAATAATTGTCGCCAGTTGTTGAAATAGGGGCCTCTGCATTACCAGATAATTGAATGATATTGTGTGCGGTGCTCTGTCAATCAACTTGCATATTGGAAACCTGTCGGCAAACATTGCATGCGCTTTTGAAAAGCGAACTAGTTAGCGAGTCATGAAGTTCATTACTGGGATGTAATCGATATGAGCTCTCTATTATTGATTTTAAAACTAGGGTTGTCATTTGCCATGGATTTTTGTTAGATGTCATATTCCGAATGTAGATATTAATTGCATGTTGCTTGCCTTTAATGTGTATAAATAGGGCTAGGGCAATCATGGCGTGCCTTTAGAGAGGGGGGGGGAGATATCTTGTACATGTATACATAAAGACAGATGGGCAATCTTTAGATTCTAGTACCCAACCCCTCCCCCTCCCCATATAAACATACACAGAAATTGAAAGTTAATAATGAAGGATTGACGAATGTACAAGTAAACCCGTGTTCTAACTGGTATGAATTTATTTTAATAGCATATATATATATATATATATATATAAACATGAAAGTTTTTACTGGTATTCAGGAAAATACAAAAATAAATGAAAGAAAAAGAAATGCTGCTTTATGAAATGCAAAACTAGTCACGGTGTGAATAATTTAGAACTTTTGTCGTTGAAATATACATGGTAATCGAAGATTTAATGTAGCACTAGATGGCACAAGGACATACTTATTAAGATGTATATTTAACCGGCTCTCTGTATAAGCTTCATAAAACAAGAATGATAAAAAAAAAAGGTTAATTAAAATGTGGACAAAAATGAAGAACAAGAATTTTTCATTAATTTGTGTGAAGTAGTACATCAGAAAAGTGTGTGATAGGAATATCAAAATGTCAAATCAGCTAGCTCACACAGCTGTCTGATGTGTATGTAAGGCCAAATAAAAAAAAAACATGTTTAGCGTCCTGCTTTTTCGAAAAATAGGAAGGAGGAGGCCCTTTTTTTTCTTCAAAATGGCCGCTCGGTACATTTTCCCTGATTTTAAAATCAGAAATAGATCCATTTTAGCAGTGTTTTTCATGTTTTTTTCTTTAAAAAAAGTATTTAATTTTTTTTTCAAAAATAGGAGGCGGCCCCCAAAAAGGAAGGGGACGCTAAACATGTATATTTTTTTCAATGGCCTAATAAAGGAAAACCTTTTTTGGGGGGAGGGAGGATTTCTAAACAATTGTGACTGGACTGTTAACCCGCAGTAGTGCAGTTTTCTAAAGGTCTAATCAATCAGGCCTAATGAATCAGCTTATCCAAATCAAATTGGCATCAATTATTTGTAGTTCCTACTCTTTCGTTATTAAAAAAATATATATCATTAAGATGAATGGTGTGAATGAAAATTACCAAAAACAACAACAAGAAATTGCAAATTTATACATGGAAATAGTGATGATAACTTTCAGTCTGTGTTGCCAATATAGAGTCTTGAATGACCATTTCTGATTAAATGGCTCTTATTGTAACATAAACAGACTCAAATTTTCCAGTGACTTTTGCTCTATCTGCTCATGTACCTGTTGTGTGTTTGATGTAGTGTGAATGGCTGAATGTGATGTGAATGAACATGGTGTGCTTTTAAAGTGTGGTGTGAATGAACAGGGTGTAATGTGACTGGGCTGGATGTGGTGTGAATGGATATGATGTGGTACATGTTGGTGTGGTGTGACTGGACAGAGTGTGGTGTGACTGGACTGGATGCAGTGTGAATGAAATAGCTGTGATTTAAATGGTCATGGTCATGTGGTGTGAATGGACATGATGTGCTACGTGCTGTGTGACTGAACAGGGTGTAGTGTGAATGGAATGTTGTGATTTGAATGGCCAGGGTCATGTGGTGTGAAAAGACAAGGCGTGGTATGAATGGACAGAGTGCAGTTTAGATGACCAGAAATAACTCTGCTATGAATGCTTGCAGGCTAAGGTTATCTTTGAGAAGGGGACCAAGGTTGAATACATAAAAGTAGATGAACAGACCACAGAGGGTCTGGTGTGAATGAATTAATGTGGTGTCTGAATAGACGAGGTCTGGTGTGAATGTCCAGAAAAAGCATCTTCTTAATCATTTATATCTATTTTATTATCCTCTATACAGGCGAGGTTTATCATTAAGAAAAGAACCAAGGTTGAATCTATGAATGTACATGTAGATGAATTGACTGGAGTCTGGTGTGAATAGACTTTATCTGGTGTGAATGGACAAAATAGCTCTATTTCTAATGGCATTTTATTTATTTGTGTCCTCTATACAGGCTAGGGTGATATTTGAGAAAGAAACCAAGGTTTAGTACATGAAAGAAGATGTACTGGGTAGAGTCTGGTGTGAATAGACTTTATCTGATGTGAATGGACAAAAAATAGCTCTCATTTTTGGCATCGTATTCGTTTGTGATCTCTATACAGGCTAGGGTGATATTTGAGAAAAGAACCAACATCGAATCTGTGAATGTAGATGAACTGACCGATGTTTGGTGTTAATAGACATTTTGTGGTGTGAATGACAAAATAGTTCAACTTTTAATGGCATCGTATTCCTTCGTGTCCTCTATACAGGCTAGGGTGATATTTATGAAAGGAACCAAGGTTGAGTACATGAAAGTAAATGAACTGGCCTGAGTCTGGTGTGAATAGACTTTATCTGGTGTGAATGGACAAAATAGTTCTATTTTTTAATGGCCTAGTATTCTTTTGTGTCCTCTATACAGGCTAGGGTGATATTTATGAAAGGAACCAAGGTTGAGTACGTGAAAGTAGATGAACTGGCCGGAGTCTAGTGTGAATAGACTTTATCTGGCTTGAATGGACCAAATAGCTCTATTTCTAATGGCATCGTATTCATTTGTGTTCTCTTTACAGGCTAGGGTGATATTTGAGAAAGGAACCAAGGTTGAGTACATGAAAGTAGATGAACTGGCCGGAGTCTGGTGTGAATGGGCGGAGATGGAGATAAGACACGAGTAAGTGAATGCAAGCTTTATCTCACGTTCATATGCATCGCTCTTCATATTGACCTTGTGTATGATATATACAGGACCACAGAAAAAGTATAAATCTAAAATTTCAGCTCCTCCTATTTTTGGTTCTGTAAGACAACAATGAATGTGTTAGAACACAAGTTTTATGGATATTTTAAAAGGTAAGATTTAAGGACATATAATAATCATAGTCCTTAATTAAGACTTTCTTATTCTCACTTTTATGTGAACAGTATGTTTTCATAAAGTAATGATAGCACCCATGTTTGCTTTGATTTAAGCAATCGTCTCATTTTGTTATATATTATATATATATATAATGCAAAAGGAAATGAGAGAATAATTGCTTATTTTGTAGCTTAAATTAAAGTTCTCCATTGCCGTCATCCTTTTTTTATTTTTTGTTTGTTGCAAACATACATGTATATATATATATATATATATATATATATATATATATATATATATATAAATGATTTATTTGATAATGAGATGATTATTAAAGATATATGACCTAACTGTATAATGTCCTTCACTTGACCTTTGCTGCACAGGAACTATGATGCTGCACTGAAGCTGATGCGTAGGGCGACGGCGGCACCCGGCAGGAAGGCTGCGTACCATGACAAGGTATGCCCAGTTTCTTGTGGATCACGATCATGATATTAAAAGTGACTCTGTAACATTGTTGAAAGTTGATGAAAAAATTGCATAATGCTGGTATGAAATGTTACTTATAATATTCCTTCTACTGTACTACCCCTCTAACATGCAAAAAATCCTGGTTTTCTTTGAAGGCGTCACGGTGCAACTCCCTCTATTTTTTCATGAAAAAAAAGACATAAGACAGGCTTTTAAAAATCTTTCAACACTTGATTGTCTGGAATGGTGTATAGAGCTTATTCATTGCTTAATGACGATTTACATTCACTTAAAATGTAATATAATTGTAATATAATTGTAATAATGTAGTTGGGAGAATTAAGGAATCGATCAGATCATTTTTTTCGATTTTGTATTATTAATTTTCTTTTTTTTTCTGTCTGTTTCTTTTTAGAGTGAACCTGTCCAGAACAGACTTTATAAGAACCTGAAGCTTTGGTCTATGTATGCCGATCTAGAGGAGAGCTTTGGAACTTTCAAGGTGAAAAAACATGCTTTTACCATTTTATAACACCTTTGACGATGATGACAATATTTTGCCTTCATAGCCTTGTAAAACTATTGTTTATGATACAGAGTACCAGGGGTGTGTGTAATCGCATCCATGATTTGTGCGTTACCAATGTTGTAAGAGAATCAGATCGTAACTTTAGAAGTTCTCATGTTAATTTGCATTGCCAATTTGATACCTTCATGTCACAACATCAGAAGATTCTCATTGTAAAATCATTGTTTACAATACAAAGTACCAAGGGTTTGTGAAATCCTATCAAGGATATCTGCATTACCAATGTTGTAAGCCGATCAGATCGTAACTTGAGAAATTACTAATTTTGTTAATTTGCATTACCAATTTGATACCATCCTTGTCACAACATGAAAAATTTCTCATTGTAAAACCCTTGTTAATTGATGTCAAGTATTTGTTTGTATGTATACAAAAATATTTAATTAATGCTTAATGTAAAGCGCAGGGAAATGTATTATGTAATATAGTATTAATGACTGCTTTGAGAGAAATAGTTGTTTTTATACGCTCAAGGGAAGGTTAGAATTGTGCTATTACCCGAGGCGTGCCGAGGGGAATAGCCCAATTGTAACCTTCCCGAGAGCGTATAAAAACAACTATTTCTCGAATATTAAAGCAGTCATTAATACTTTTATATGCCGAAAAAAAATAGACTAAAAAATAAAAAATAAAAAATACTTTTTTCTTTGTCGAAGGTGAGAGTCGAACTCTTGCGTACAATAAGTGATGAATCTTACACCAACGCTTTACACCACTCGGCCATCGCGCGCTGTTCACATGCTTGGCAGTTTTGTACAATATATACATTAAAATGGATTGAAACCGGCTTCGGCGTGATGAATGCTTCGCAAAAGCACCCTTCTTTTACTTTTGCAATGCATATTGGCACGAACTTAGATCAAGATCTATCGGCAGATGTTGTTTTTTTGTTTTTGGAAGTTTATTTTCGTCTTCATGTCAACAATGCAAGATAAAATTGTCGGTAAGATCGATCGAGATTCAATTGTATTGAAATTACCGACCAATCCTTCGCACACATACGGTATCCTCGATCGCTCAAACCATTTTTTAACATGTAAACCTATGGGGTAACCATGGAGGCTGACCTATTTTTTTAATAACCATGGTTATTAAAAATATTAAATGTTTTATGCATGGTTACCGGGAATTTTACAGGAACAGTTGAAGTTTATGAATGCAATTTCGACCAATCAGATGGCTGGATTACTTAAGTGAGGTATATAATGCGCTATATAAACGTAACATATCATTATTGTCATTATTGTATTATTATGATGCAGAGCACCAAGGCAGTGTACGATCGCGTCATTGATCTCCGTATTGCCACGCCCCAGATCATCATCAACTATGGCATGTTCCTGGAGGAGAACCAGTACTTTGAGGAGGCTTTTAAGGTCAGTTCCAGGCATCATCGCATTTCAGATAATGAATTCTTTTATTAAAAAATAATAAAATATATACTTTGTGAGTGAGAATAGACCATGGTTAGCATACATGTTTGTCCCAAATGACCCCGAATATCCACAGATCTTCAAAACATGAAGAGGTCCCACTTTGTACATTTTAAAATAATCACTCCTACAGCGATGGAGGTGCTACATAAATAGCCTTAAATTTGTTTCCCCTTTTCAAAGAATACTTCCGCCTGTGTATCATGGGCTGCACTGCTTGTGCATAAATGAATAATGATTACAAAGCTTTCATGAGCATGTATCCAGTATTTTGTCTCCGTGTATTTCACAATTTGGTCTGCAATGACCTTTTTCTGCTCATACTCAGACTGCAACTATGAACTGGCTTATTACATCCCATGGAAATATATTGTACATACATGTATGTTCATAGGACAAGAAATGATGGTTGGGGGATTTGACAACTGTTACTTTAAACGAATCGGAATGCCATTTTTATGTTGTTCATTCTTCAATACAGCTGTCTGGAATTGTGTCATATTTCATGTCATTACATTCATATAGCTACATTTGTACACTTAACATGTTGTCACTTTTGTACACTTTAGTTTTTAGTGATTTAGGCAGTTTAGTGAAGGAAGTCGGTCTTTTGATTATCTCTCTGTTAATTTTCTTTGATTATTTTCAGGCATATGAGAAGGGGATCGGTCTCTTCAAGTGGCCAAATGTGTATGACATCTGGAATACCTATCTTACAAAGTTCATGGAGAGATATGTAAGTAGTCAGATTCTGTAATTTTGAGTGAGTGGGTTGTAATGTACATGTCAGTTATCAATTGATTTGTTGATTAATGAGTGAATGAGTTGAGCAAGTGAATGAGTTTGAGTGATTTAATGATTGTATTAAGTGAGTGTAAGTTAATATGTTTGAGTAAGTGATCAAGTGTGAGGTAAATGCAGTGAGTGAGTGAATTAATGTGAGTAAGTCTCATAATGTGCGTGAGTGAGTGAATGTGGGTTACATAAAGTGAGTGAGCGAGTGAGTATGGGTTACATAAAGTGAGTTAGTAAGTGTGTGTGAGTGTGGGTTACATAAAGTGAGTGAATGTGTGAGTTACATAAACTGAGTGAGTGTGAGTTACATAAAGTGAGTGCATGTGGGTTACATACATATAGTGAGCGAGTGTGAGTTAGATAAAGTGAGTGAGTGTGGGTTACATACAGTGAGTGAGTGTGAGTTATATAAAGTGAGTAAGTGAGTGATTGATTGTGAGTTACATAAAGTAAGTGGGTGTGAGTTACATAAAGTGAGTGAGTGAGGTTGATTTACATAAAGTAAGTGGGTGTGAGTTACATAAAGTGAGTGAGTGAGGTTGATTTACATGAAGTAAGTGGGTGTGAGTTACATAAAGTGAGTGAGTGAGGTTGATTTACATAAAGTAAGTGGGTGTGAGTTACATAAAGTGAGTGAGTGAGGTTGATTTACATAAAGTAAGTGGGTGCGAGTTACATAAAGTGAATGATCTATTGAATGAATGAGTGACTGATTGGCTATGGATGTCTGAGTGAATAATTTGAATGAAAGCTGTAACGAGTGATTAAATTTATTCTAATTCTTCAAACCATCTCTATTCTAGGGAGGCAAGAAACTGGAGAGAACCAGAGACCTCTTTGAACAGTGCCTTGAAGACTGTCCTCCCAAATTTACCAAGAGTGAGTTGCTACTTCCTTTTTAACTGCAAATTTTCCGTTAAGAATGTTAAATGTTTAATAAAGTACGATATATATATACGGAATTGGTCTCTGCAATAAAACAAAGCAAAGTTACTTATGAGTTCTCATAGTATTAACTAGAATTATCTTGTCCTTACCTTGATCATAACAATTAATGCATCACAGTTTTAATATATATAAAATAATTAAATAATTGTAATATATTTATTTCCATTTGATGCTGAACAGCTTTGTACCTGTTGTATGCCAAACTCGAGGAGAAATACGGATTATCCCGGCATGCTGTGGCCGTCTATGACAGGGCTACCAAAGCAGTGCTTCCCAAAGAGCAACACGAGGTATATATTATGCAAAATTGTTATCGTATGCAATTGTTTGGAATGGTTTAAATATAACCATGAAAAAACATGGCTGAAATTTATTGATTGTATGAGTAATACTAAAATCAAATTGTATCTAATGACTATAAAGAATATCAAGATTTTTCAATGATTTGGGTTCTTTTTGCCAGATGTTCAACATTTACATAAGGCGAGTTGCTGGCATATATGATGTAATTTTCATTTTCTTGATTAACAAGTTTCAAAGAACATCCTTAATAAATTTGATTCTTTTTGGTAGATGTTAAGCATTAACATGAAGGGAGGTGCTGTTGCTAAGATATATGATGTGATTTTCACCTTCTCAACCAATTTTTTTTACTTTTTTTTTTATTTATATATTTTTTTTTTTATTTTTTTTTTATTATAGATGTTTAACATTTACATCAAGCTAGTTTGCTGGTGATTTATTATGTAATTTTCACCTTCTTGATCACAATTTAACTTTCAAAATCCATCTCAATAAATTTGATTCTTTTTCGTGATAGATGTTCAACATTAACACCAAGCGGGTTACTAAGATAAATGATGTGATTTTCACAAGTTGAATAAAAAAAAACATTCTCAATAAATTTCACCCTTTTTTTGTCAGATGTTCAACATTTACATCAAGCGAGTTGCCGAGGTGTATGGCGTCACCCAGACCAGACCCATCTATGAGAAAGCTGTGGAAATTCTACCCGACATCGAAGCCAGAGAGATGTGCCTCCGGTTTGCTGATCTGGAACGCAAGCTGGGCGAGATCGACAGAGCGAGGGCGGTCTACGCTCACTGCTCGCAGATGTGTGATCCACGCGTAAGTTTATTGATGGTTCTTCATTTTCATGAGAAAGATTAATTGGTAGATTCAGTGGGGGGGGGGGGGGGGGGGGGGGTCCAGATAAAAGAGGTATGAAGATATGAAGAAGATTATTATTTATGAACAGGGCACTGTTTCATAAAACTTGTAATCAATATTAAAGATAAACTCCAGTACTGGTAAAAAAAAAAATAACAATTCTCACAGAATCAAACGAAACTTACACTGAATGTTCAAGATTACAAATAAATGACATGTGCCAAACAATTTTGGAAGAAAATGTATACTGGCTGAGTAATGAGCATAGAAAGACAAGGAAATCAAGGTAGTACTAGCCCCGACACCATGTGTGTTGTCCCATATATAGCTTTCTATGTGAGTGCTTGTTACTTTACCAAGACTCGGTCAAATTTATTATGATTTTGATGACTCCAGAACCTTGCAGTGCACACCAATACTTACATGCTACATGATCAACTGTTTCTGATCCTTTCCACACCTTTTCTTTCACAATGCAATCGCATTACCAGTACTAAAGTTTATCTTTAAATGCCACAGATCTATGACAAATCTGCTAACAGTCAATCAAGTGTAAGGATTTCAGTAGCTTATAACAATTATCGTATCTTGTTATCGATAACAAGTTTTATGAAATGGTCCAGAACTGGCTTCCATCTTTTTGACTAATCATATTCTTGGGAAAAGTGCCATCTTCGAGCTTGTCTTCTAATACCCTTTTCTAACTGCACTCTATCGGAGTCACACCGATGAAAATACCGATTGAATTTCCCTTATGTAAACAAAGGTGAAACCGCAGTTTTCCCCCTGTCGGTTTCTAACTGCCGGTGAAATTCACTCGCTGTGGCGAGCCCTTGCCGGAAGTGAAGAATTATTACGTAATTATTAAGCCCGCGCTCCATCTAGCTAGCATGCAGCATGTTCAACCATAAGTCAACAAACACAGCTGGTTAAGATAAAGCGCGCCTATACTGCGACCTTTGACCATTTTAATCGCTGTTTTAATCGCCTTTTTCTCCCGAACGTTTTCTAACTGCACATTTCATCGGTGTCACACCGATAGAATGAGAATTTCTCCTGCTCTTGAGCAGGAGAATTTAATCGCCTATTTCTCTTTTTTTCATCGGCTATTTAATCGCCTTTTTCTCCTCTGTTGCTTTCTAACTGCCAGTTTCATCGGATGCGTCCGGATGCATCCGATGAAAATCAGTGCAGTTAGAAAAGGGTATAAGAGGTTATAAGAATGATGATTGCCTAAAACATGGATTTATGTGTACCCAGCTAGATACAATAAAGCTTTGCAGCCAACGGATAGGGCTCACAGAATTACACACATTGTTGCTCATACATGTATTTCTGCAAGATAATAATTGACTACAGTTTGATCGAGACGCGTAAGATACCATATGTATAACACCAGAGCTTAAACCCCAAATCTCTTGATTCCAAGTTGCATGTAGGAACAAACAAAAGTCAAATGAGTAATTCATACTAATACATGTATATGAAAGTAATGCAAACACATAACAGTTCCAACTGAATTATTCCTACCCTTAACAAGTTTTGTAATTTATTAAGTATGTGTAAAAAGAGATTTGTCCTGATTTGTATATCTTGAGAATGTGACCTGTTACAGGTTATATGTTAAAGGCCCACTGCATTACTTGTAGCTACTTGCGCCCTCTATATAACAAACAATGCCTAATCGGTGACCATTGGTCCCCCATGATCCTCTTTTTCTTATGTTAACTGAGAGCTGAGTTGATGATATAACCACCTGTCCAGTGACCTTGCAGGGCAGTCTAATCCCTCCTGTAAACTATGGCAGATAAGCTTTAACATTAATCGGCAATGGCCCAAATTCAACCAGTAAAATTGTTATTCCATAGTAACGAAAAACACAAAAGCATCAAATCTATAAGGGGTATGAATAATTTATCGGTAGTTGTTCAATTAACTGTACATATAGTGTACAGTACATCTTTTATAAATGTCTCCTGCCCAAGTACACCTATTAAAGCCCCACAGCTCTACTTATAGCTACTTGCGCCCTCTACTGTATATAGCCTACAATGCCTAATCGGTGACCATTGGTCCCCCATGATCCTCTTTTTCTTATGTTAACTGAGAGCTGAGTTGATGAGATAACCACCTGTCCAGTGACCTTGCAGAGCGCTCTAATCCCTCCTGTAAACTATGGCAGATAAACTTTAAAGCCCCACAGCTCTACTTATAGCTACTGTACTTGCGCCCTCTATATAGCCTACAATGCCTAATCGGTGAACGTTGGTCCCACATGGTCCTCTTTTTCTTATGTTAACTGAGAGCTGAGTCGATAAGATAACCACCTGTCCAGTGACCTTGTAGAGCGCTCTAATCCCTCCTGTAAACTATGGCAGATAAACTTTAAAGCCCCACAGCTCTACTTATAGCTACTTGCGCCCTCTATATAGCCTACAATGCCTAATCGGTGAACGTTGGTCCCACGTGGTTCCCTAGTTTTTTGATAGTTGAGAGCTGAGTTGATGAGATAACCACCTGTCAGTGACCATGCAGGGAGGTCTAATCTCTTCTGGCCAAACTAGTGCAGATAGGCTTTAAGTGCACCAAATTCAGATTCCTCTCCTCTCTGGTTCAGCAGTTTGGCTACTGCAGGATTTTAAAGGTACATGTACTATGTCCCTTTTGCAGCCAACCTCAAATGCTGTATAACTTTGCAGGAAAATATGAATATGTCATGTATGTCCCATCTGTGAAATTTAAACGTTAGCAGTGTCCTCATATTCAAATTATGCAAGGAAACCCGTTTACTTGCTAGACTTCACTGTCAGACACTATTGAGTGACTGACTGGCTTTTTTTCTTCTTTGGTAATAACATACATAAAAAGAGTTGTAAAGGGTACATGAGCATTTGTCTACATCAATAACCCACTTCTTGTGATGGCCAAGATTAAACTGATTGAATCTTTGTGCAGCATAAAACGTGTGACCATTCTGTACAATTGTCTGAAAATCAAGACTATTACTTTTGGGCTCTATAGCCCTAAAGTCGATTTGACAACTAATAATCGTTATTTTCCCACTTGAAGACATTTTCAAGCCCCACCTTTTTTAGGGAAGTTCTAAATTAGTATTATCTTTCAAATGCAGTTGGAATTTAACTTTTTCATTTTTTTGGCCTGCAAATGGGACATAGTACCTATAATGTATTCTATTTCTCTCTGTTGTTCTTTTCTTCTTGTCCAGGTGACGGCAACTTTCTGGCAGGTGTGGAAGGACTTTGAGATCAAGCACGGCAACGAGGATACGGTCAGGGAGATGCTGAGGATCAAGAGGAGCATCCAGGCCAAGTTTAACACTCAGGTATTCAAGATAAGATCAAAGATTCAAGATTTTTTTATTTAACCATGACCATAAAACAACATACAAATAATAATACAAAATACAGTATGGAATATGGAAAGAACAAAAGAAGAAAACAAAATCCACTTTGTGATGTATTTGAGTTTGTTACTGCATGTGGACTCTAAAATGAATATAAGCATTGGAAAGCAATCTACATCTATCAGCTAGTAATGTGTCAGATGATTTCAAGGAAAGCTTTTGAAATGTCTGGAGCAATCATCATGACTTTCCAAAATTATTGTGTGAATGGCCGAATAAGCTTGTTTAATCAAAGATATGTTATATTGTTAGTAGTTCTCCAATTTTTCCTTCTGCAAACATGCTCTGACTTTTCTCTTTCGTTTCATTTATCTCATCTCAGGTGAATTTCATGTCAGCTCAGATGATCGCCGCAGAAGGAGCAGGTAAGTCTGAAAGGGATAACCATCGGAGGTTAAAGGTCAAGTGGAGTGATCAAATTAAAAAAAATTGTACTCCTCCAAAATGTACCCTGCATCAGTGAAAGAAAGAGACGAGCAAACATGGGACCAGTGCTGTGTGTCGTATCTTACGAGCTCCTCTTCCATATGCTCTGTACAGAAAAAGTTATAAATATTTATTTTCTTGGTTATTGATGTCGGAATAGACTAACTTCATGTAGTGGTTGTATAGAAATATATTTTCAATAATTATATTAGGCGTAATTGGATAATTGAAAATTTTCTTAAAGTTGATACACTAAGCAAATAAATGTCCCTTAATTTGTTACCTACGGCAAGTATATGTTATTTTTAAGTTTTTCAATTACTTAGTATATCACAAAAAAATTCTGTCTACTCGAAATCCTCAATTGAAATGTCAAAAATATCCGCCTCTCTTTGCATAGAAAATCAGTCACGGCGCTGGTCTACTATTTATGACCTCACGTCCGGGAAAGAGTATATTCACGTACCCGGATGTTCCATAGCAAACATGTGCAGAGTGATACGATTTTCTGCATATTTTTGTTTCAAAGGCTGAAAAGTCTAATAAATCATAATTCTATGTACAATTCTTTACCTTCCCCTAGTACTTCATAGTATTAATATCAATTCCCCTTTTAAAAATTATGACATATACATGCCAACGATGTGCTATTAGTCGATATTTTCACCATGTAATTTTTGTTTTGGTGTTGAAATCGGCCCAGGCACGGAGTGAACAGTAGCTGTCTACCCATGCACAGTTCACTACAGCGATCTCCCGATGGTTTCTTATTCCTTTTTTTCATGTTTTTCGCCTTCCTTGGCCCTGAAGATCCTTCATCTACCAATTCTGACACCGGTAGTCAGGAGCAAGTCTTTGTTAGTTGTTTTTCTTAGCTGGCAACGTCGCTTTCATTCTCTTGCAATTGCCGATAAACATATAACTAGCGCACGTACGTTCCATCACAAGCAAGCAGCGCCTAGAGCAGCGGGTTGGTCTTACCTCCCGATTCTGCTCGCTTCACGAACGTGAATGCAAGAGCCGCATCACTCGCCAAAATATTATAGAGGAAGCGCACTTGCATGATCTAGTTCAAGTTTGATATTTTACAGCATAAAATGTTTAACTGGTACTGTTTCCTTTTTTGAGGCAGTCACACACATCTATGATAAGTACTATCATAGTTCTAGACCTATTCGTTTTACAAAACTGCTCCTGTACCTTATCTGATGACAATATATAATGCATCCGCCTATATTCATACATGCACGATTTAACTTTAATTCCTAAGCAGTAAACTAGTCTTAAATCTCTACCAAATAGGTGAATATGAGGATATAAAAGAAATCAGCGACTGGAAAATGTTGCTTCGTTATTCTTCATTCAAATGAAAACAGAAAATCCATCAAATATACTCCTTAACAATAACAAATCTAAGCTCTGACAGGATAGCATTTACGTAGGGATATCACTGCCATTCACTCTCACTGAGCCCATGAGTCCTGTTCATGACATCACGGATAGAGGCCCGACTCTACGTGCACTTCCGGGTTTCAGACTTAGATATTTTGGTAGAGTTTACTCGAATAATTTCATTATTCTAAACTTGTTTTGTCGGGTGGACACCATTTGGTGTTATTATGGGGGTTAAAAGCTTTCTATTTATGTAATTATCTCAGTATTTGGGATTGTCTTAGAGTATCAACTTTAAGAGAAAATGTAAATTGTTGAAGATTTTAGTACAGGGCGAATGGGAGGAGACCTCACAAGATACGTGACAGGGTTGCCAATATGTGTCTGATTGATCACAACTTCAAAAATTCTTAACTCGTTATTTTCAATTGGACTTTGCTCAAACTTTCACTGACCAGTTCCTCTAATTTTCTGCTTCTATTGAAACCACCTTAATATCAGGGTGGACTTCCCTTTTTTTAAATGAGCTCCAGTGACTAAAGCTGAATTTTTTTGAAAGTGTCATAAATGTTTGAGACAACATATGAATACTACTTGTTGATATTGAGTGCCACTAAAAATGCTTTAGAACACATCTCTCCTTCAAGTTTTCATATTTGTTTTTTGTGGAGCTAATTCTTAATTCATGTAAATTCTGCCCTTTCCATACAAAACACTTGGCATAGTATTAAAAAAATCCACAGTAAAAGAATACAATCATTTGTAGAGTGCCTTGAGCATCACGACCTTGGCAGATACAGACACTAGAGAAATCGTCTGCGTTATTTTCAGCAGTAATACGTATGACAGATTTGTTGTTTCATGATTACGCAGACTAAATATTTGCATGTTAATAGTTTCTTTTTTTATTCATTTTCTTGTCCCTAGCCAAAATATCCACAGTATGAGAAATGCAGTCATTTGTAGAGTGCCTTAAGTAACACAACCTTGGCAGATACCAACACTATTTCAATATTCATTTACACATTATTAATTTCTTTGTTAATTGTGTTTTCTTGCTCCCGCAGCCAAACCCAACTTAGCTGCAGTGGATGACATGCAGTTACTGGAACAGAGAGCACAGGCACTTGCTGCCGAGGCCGAGGCTGATAAACCAAGACTCAAGAAAGATATTCTCTTTGTCAGGTGAGCTTTTACTCTCTAGCCAACACACATTGTGTCCATGGCTCTGCTCCGCAGTACAATATTACTTAAATAAATCATTACATTCCATCACGATCTTTACGCTCTCAAAACTCCAGATTTGTTGTTCTTGGAGGGAAAGAACCTTTGCTCATGCAGGGCCTTCGCTGTGGAATGCTCTTCCTCAAGAGATCCGTAATTGCAGATCAGTTGAAGTGTTTACAACATAATGTTGAAATGTACATGTATCTGTTTAATTTGGCATATAATTAATTGTTCTGTCATTTTTGTATGTTCTGTGTCACTTATGTGGACAGTATCCAATAGGCTAGTTTACTAACATATTCAGATTTTATGCATACTGTTTAAAGACAGGTTGTTCTTGACAGCCTGTAAGCTTGCCCAAATGCTTGCCCAACATAGCAACAAGTAATGTACGCCGACTGGATTCCAAGTATTGTAGTTCATTCATTAATAACAGGTTAATGGAATACCTCTAGGTCCCCAGAAAAGACACATCCATAAATTTGAATATGTAAACCAGTCTATTGAGAAAAGTGTTTATCCAAAATTACTCCCACTTGATTCATTTGCTGATGGTTGTTTTATTTTTTTCTTCACAGGGGTGATACTGAAGCTAAGCGGGAGGCGGTTGCCGAGGCAACAAGAGCAGCCAACCCGGCAGAGATCAACATCGATGATGATGAGGATGAGGATAGTGAAGAAGAAGTGGATGGTAAGAGGAAATCATTTTGCTTTCTGAATTTATTACAACAATTGCCATAGTGCAGTGGAATCTTGTTTAAAAAAAAGAAACTCATTATAAGATGGTCTGGTCCCACCTCTTTTTTTTTTGGTCTATTTTATTTAGCCCTGGGCCATGTCAAATAAAGAGTTGCGATTCATCTGAAGCAATCGCAAGTCTGCCAATCCATTGCAAATTTGCGATTAATATCAATCACAAATAGAGGCCCTGATGTAAGAAAGTGCAATGTAGCAAGAAAATTTCCTTGGTCCAAAGGACGTAGAAATAGGTTCCATTATAATTATGTGAATTTGTAAAGTGCCCTATACTATAGGGGTAATAAATGAGGTCTTAGTAATCAATTTTGGACAATCTTCTGTGATTTCTTTGCTTAGTCCCATCTAAGTGTATTTTATGTTATCATTATTTTGCAGAGGTCAACGTGGAGCGGAAGAGTGTCCCATCTGAGGTGTTTGGTAGTATCAAAGCTGTCCAGGATGAAGAGGAGGAGGATGAAGAATAAAGCATTCCTTCAACTTGGAAAAAGAACTTGTGTAGCCTGTTCACTTAAATGGAATGAGCAGCGATATCAGCGGCTGAACCACACTTGGTCCTGCAACTATTTCCTACACATACCAAATTCTTAACCCTAACTCTGTGCCTCACCTAAAATCCAATCGCAACCCTAACCCCCTTCCTCAACCTTTGACTATCTTAAAGCCTGGATCGTTTGTCGCAGATCAGGGCCCCATTTCACAAAACTTGTCATCAGTGATAAATGACAGTTTATGTCATAAGCTAGTGAAATCCTTGCTTCTGATTGGTTATCAGCAGATTTATCACTGATTTTTTTGTCATTTGTCATTGAAAAATGGATTTGTGAAACTGGTCCCAGGTCACCAATGTGAGCAATGAGGAATGCGTTTTTATTATGAATGTCTACATTTTTTTCCCTTAAACAGAAAAAGTTACATTTATTGTGAAGCTTATCCCCCCTGGGAGATGTTCGATACCCATTTTAACCATGAAACAAAGCACTAAAAAAGCCAACACTATCTCTTGAAAGTTTATTTATAACAGCTTTTCAAAAACTTCATGGCACAGGAGGGGTTTTACTTGTGTCAAGTCGCCAGCACCTTAATGCTTCAACTTTGTTTCAAATGATGAACCGTCTATAAATGTTCATTTGGCTTGTAATGGATATAAAACATGCCTGAAAGTGTTACAGAAAACATAATGCTCAGTCCTTTTCAATGAGAATAATTTCTTTTCATACTGTGGTGTGGAAAAAATGTGAAAAATGTCAAATGAAAGACATAGGATAGCCAGTTTCTACCATTCTTTCACTTAATTTTCAAGTGTAGAGGAATAGACAAACTGAAAATTTGACTGTGAGACCTAGAACTTAACTCTATTTTAAAGCCATTAAACTGAAAGCCACGTCTGTCATACGCGTATTTCTGTTGGATAATTCATGAAAGCGTAAACAAATCATAATGATTCTAACCGTTTTTTTAGTTTTTTTAAACAACACACAAGTACATGTAATTTATCGTGGCCAGCTGATTGTGCTTCATCTTTATGTTGAATATGCTTCTTCAAAAATCTACAAATTAATTTTTTTTGTTAAATACAATTTCAAGTGGCCTAAGTCTTGTAACAGTATTGACTAAATTAATATATGTTGTATGTTTGAAATAAATTGTATGACATTTGTTTGTTCATGGTGAGTGGAAATTCATGCCTATCATGAAAATTAATAAGATTAGTTACAAACAGATTCTTGGCCCACATAGTTGTTAAAATCTCCCTGACATTAAGTCATGTTTTTGAATAGACAGAAAACAGTCCTGCTTCAACTTTTGTACATGCATTGTTAAATCAGTATGTAATTGTGTTTGACACTGTTTACTTCATCTTTGATTTATTGTGATATTGTCTATTAATCTTCTTGCATTGGTATGTACACAATAAAACAAGTAATTCCAATAATGTTCAGATTAACATAAAATGTATGTAACTCTAGTGATATTAAACGATTCATGATTTTCATACTTTCTTTCTCCCATTTTATCCATTTTTTGTTATTTGTGTTAGTTACAGTTATTATAATTTTTATATTTTTAAAAAATAAAATATTTATATTCATCCAGCAACAACTTAAGTGATGATTTTTGTAAGACATTCACATGATAAATATTTTAAGTCAATTATCTCAAACTATACATGACGAAAACTCTTCGTTTAAAATTGAAACCACTAATTTGACTTTCAACACTTCAAGAGCTAAGATAGCATCAATCCCCCCACCGAGACCTTGAATGGGTGATAGAGAGAGAGAGAGAGGAAGGGAGAAAGATTGATAGTTTTCAGAGTTAAAATTGTTGTTAAATCGCCAATTCTAGGTCATTTTGCTTCGTTCGAACTTTCATTGTGGTTTTCATCTAAATTATGAGTGGCTTTTGGACATGAAAATATCTTAAAACAAGTAAAATGTATCTTTTCTACTTCTCATTTCCTTTCAGGCAGAGCACCAGTAAGAGTTTGTTTACAAAGAGCAGAGCGGCGATCCAATATCATAATCTCTCATGCAGAGCTGTAAGGCTCTGTACCAAGTTTTAACGAGAGAAACGAAAGTGGGGTCTTGATACCCCACCATAATGACATTGGTTCTTGTGTTATAGTGGTGGGATATGTTTTTAACGAGAGTTATTATAATGAGCAGTAGTTCTAACCGATTCATATAACTATTATGAGCAAATATTTCATGAGTTTAAAAAAAAAAAAAAAAAAAAAAAAATCCAATTCCAATTCCAATTCCAAAAAAAAGAATGAAACTACATTAGGAAACCACAATATAAAAGAATGAAATAATATAATCACAAAAAGTGACTTTTCTTACACCAATTTAAAAGTAATAAAGTACACATGGATCGACACACAAATGACTTCCCTACTCAAATGCTTCTCTTATCAAATATATTCTTTATTTCATGTATGACAGTTACACATATTCCATAATCACGGTAGTATTACACTGTCATAATATAATTTCTCACTCTCTTTTGCTGTACTTAAAAAAAAATTAAAAAAGAACACATGCAAGTGTTTTCTTAAAAGTAAAATGACTTCACACAGCCATATAGGGGATGCCATTATTTTTCAAAACATGAAAAATGTATTCATTTTAATACTAATATTCCTTGAACATGTGGTTACAGCTAACTGTTGGTATTGGGTCATGCGAAAGAATGATGGTTTGCACTGACAGCATAGATTTGATACGCAGTCCCGTAACCCATTTTAATAATACATGTACATTTGTATCACAAAAGAAAGTAATTATCAATGATATTTAATACATGTACCATAATTATGACTTGCATTAAAATACTTAAGAGTTGAACCTTCCATTATTTGTTAATCTCTAATAAATAAACAACATACCGGTACCCAATGCATTGAAGTTTAAATATAGAAAACCTCAAAGAACATGATTTGGGATGATAAAAAGAAAAAAACATACAAAAACAAGTGCTTAAACTGTTTCTATAGTACAGGTATGATTAAAGGGAAAAAAATCACAGTAATATTACAGAAATTGCAAAGTCAAATGACAAAAATGAAAGAAACACACGCTCACATAAAAATACTAAACCAAGAGGATAGTCCTTTGAATAAAAGGATAACAAACCCGACTACAGGTATATTAAATGTAACTGGCATAATATATAATATAGTGTTGGCAAGGATAAAATCTCTCCATTTTTTAAAGGATGTCAACATTGTAGGGCATTCCGAGGTATTCATCTACATAACCTTTTTGAGTACATACATTCTTTTTACATGAGCTAACACTGGTATTTAGAGTGTCGTAGCATGATATACGTCAATTGCTCAAACATAATTTAACGTGAAGTCTACAGAAACTTGGATTGTACCGAATTTATATTAACGCTGCATTGAAAGCACTTGTTATAATTTTTGTCTCTAAAAAAAAAATTGCGAACGTACTTGTAGTCCCCTGAAAGCAAGTTAGATCTTGTGCTTCCGGTACAAGTTTTTTAGTAGGATATTCACAAATATTTTTTAGAGTTTGCAGTGGAAATTCATTCTGGTAACATACCATAATTATAACACTTTTTTCATATAGTAAGATATAGACTTCATTGTAAGAGTATATATTCATGTTACACACACACTCGCACACACTAACTGAATGCATGACTTGGTTTCTCCCAAAAAAGTGCGTAAAAAAATATGATGGCTTCCAAGTGCATATCTACCTTTTGTGAAACAATACCCAGGTATCGGTCTTTAATATCAGTGCGTGACTAGCATGATGGTTCATCAACTTTCCAATACAATCATGAATTCACTCTAACAAAGTCCTTACAGCTTTCAATTTCTAGAAACTCACACATTATTTAAATTACAAATCCATCAATGGCAGTCATATCCAAATTTCTTCCCTACCTGAGCTAATAATGCCATGATTGCTATTAAAGAGGCAGGAGATTCCTTATTTTGTTTTGCCATGTTTAATTCAATGACTCATTAAAAAAAGTGTTCTTATATAACCCAATAAAAGTATAAGGACGTTGGAAGCCTATGGTGCTTAACAACAGGACACCACATGTCACTATGAATATGACAGACAAAGAAAGCGGACAAAATATACAGTTCCTCAGGTAGACAAAGGAACATCCCTTCACTGCTATTATGTAAAAGTGTGTAGAACAGGTGAATATGCATGTGACACCTGTTCTACACATTTTTACACAATAGCAGTGAAGGGATGTTCCTTTGTCTACCTGAGGAACTGTATATTTTGTCCGCTTTCTTTGTTGGTCATATTCATAGTGTGTGCCTGTATGCCTGTGTCACGGACGAGAATCTCCAGCCGCGTCAGTTCTCTGGCTGCTCATAGAGTTGCAAATGTTCAGATGTAATCTAATTTAAAGCCTGTCTGTACTAGTTTATCCTGGAGGAATTAGACTACCCTGCTGGTCACTGACAGGAGGTTATCTCATCAACTCGGCTCTCAATTAACATAAGAAAAAGAGGATCATGGGGGACCAAGGGGCACCGCTTAGGCATTGTTTTCTATATAGAGGGAGCAAGTAACTACAAGTAGTGCAGTGGGGCTTTAATACCAGACTCCTTTCAGATTTTCTTTTCAATCATTTTGTTTTTTAAAGTTTTTTTTTAAAGACCAAATTTAAATGTTGAAAGATGGCAGGTGTTATTTATATTTGTATATCCATGTTTTTATCCAGAGAATTGACGCAGCCGATGATTCTTGCCCGTGAAGCCTGCCCTTATATTCGTGTATTACATTGTCTACCTGAGCAAAAAAGAAAAAAATCCTCTATTCTGTTTTCTACAGTTACAGGAGCTCAGCCATTGTTTAAGCCTTTAGGGACTTGCTGAACGCTTTGAGTTTCTCAGCTGCTTTGTCGATGGTGCAGTCCTCCTGAGGAATTGAAAACAAACAGAAAAATAGAGGGGGGAAAAAATCATTAAAGACGTTAATATGCTTGCTTGCTTGCGTGTACCTTGCCTGTGCCAGACATTTGTGTTCAAGGCTCTCCATTTAATTCAATCTGGTTATCTGTAATTTGATGTCACTAGGTAGCCCAGTGAAATGATCTATGTATATAAAGGCATTGTTTAACAATGCCAAATCTGAGATGCATGAACCTACGTGTTATCAGCGTCTGTGATATGGCGTAATATTGAAGCCCATAAAATATTCAATGTCCAGTCCCCATAACCCTACATTTACACCTGTAAGCCAGAGATAAGTTTGGCTTATATCTGTGTATTACGCTAAAATCATATCCTACATAGGTTAAACATTATGTGATATCTAAAAAAACGGAACGGATTGGGTAACTTTGTCTCAGATTCCGAAACAAAATTCTGGATTTAGCTCATGCTGCAATGATAAATATTAACCTTTAGGTCAATCAGGAACCCAATGAATTTTACAAGCTGATCGCCTGTCTGATTATTTTCGTTTTTCCTAACAGCATCTATTCGGGGAAAACGAGTATGGTAAAACCGGTCACTCAAAGATTTTTTACTATTTTGAGGCACTTCTTGATCATTTTGAAGCGCAATTTTTTAGGGCTTCAATATTCAACCATATCACAGACACTGATAACACGTAGGGCCGTGCATCTCAGATTTAACATTGTTAAACGATGCCTTTAATAGTTACTTCTTACCTTGATGAAGCAGAAACGGATGTATGGCTCTCCCAGGCTCTTATGCTCTGCACTGTAGAATGCACTGCACGGTATAGTGGCTACACCCTGTGCGAGGAGATGAAATCAAAATCACTCATTAAAAATACTAATTAGGACAGGGTTTATTCAAAGGGCTCAATTGATCACGTGTTGTTCTTCAAATTGGCAACAATGATGTTTTTCTGTTATTGCTACTTATTGTTGAACGATATCTTTGTGTATGGATTTTGTCAAAAGGTTGAGAAAATTGCCAATTTTGATCGAAAATAATGAATCAGACCCTATCAATTTTTTGCCGATATAGGGATTTAATTCCTGACATCATGCAAGAAAAATGGATAAAATGTATGCAGACATTTTGTCTCTTTCTACTTATGATCTGGTATATCTTTTAGGAGATACAATATACAAATTTTGATGAGTCCAAATTGACATATGAGAAGTCAAAATTATACAAGTTTGATTATTTGAACTTCATGTTGCATAACAAGAGGCAAATTTAGCTGTAATTAATAACATGAATTTGAAACAAAAAGACTACAACACTTGACGATTCTCACCTGTGTTTTTGTGAGGTAGCGAACCATCTTGTAGTCCTGTGGCCCATCGCCGTATGCACTCACATCCACACCTGCAATGACATTTAAAAAAGGGTTAGGTGTATTATATAAACTAACAAAATACAAATTGATCAGTTGTTCATCTTCAAATTGCCAACATTCTCTTTTCTATGTATACATGTAGCTATGAAAGTTTGCGAGACATGAAAAGTATAGACAACAGCAATAACAGAATATGAA